CACGTCGCCGCGTCGGGCTCTCCCCGATGTCTTTCGGGCACCCGGCCGTCTGTGTTGGGGTGTGGGGGAAGGGCTCGTGGGCGGGCGGGAAGGTCCAGGGGCGTTCTCTGTTGGGGGGGTGCAGTTGACGGAGGGCCCCTGTGGGCGGGGAGTGCTCTGGGGCTCGCCTGTCAGCCGGGAAGTCGTCGCCGTCCGGGGCCACCCCTTAGCGCTGAGAGGGGGGTCTTGCACTGCCTCCTCGCGGCGGCTGGACTTGCGCCCCTGGCGCCGAGGGGCCTTGCGCCCTTCTCCTGGCCGGCAGGCGGTGGAGGACGCAGGTCGCGGGGAGGTTTGGTGCCAGCCGGGCTAGGCCTCACCATGGGACATGCTTTGTTGGATTGCGCGGCGCAGGGAATATTTGTGTACGTTTGTGTGGTGCGCGTGTGTTCGCGCGTGGTTTGTCGGCGCTCGTGGCGCGTGTGTGCGCGTGGTGTAGGCGCGCAGTGCGCGTTGTGCTTACCTGCAGTTGTGCGCGCGAAGCTGTCCTGAGCGTGCCGGAATTCGATTTCGTGCTGCTGCCGCAATCATCGGCATGTTCTTCCTTCCGCAGGGGATCCGGTCTAAGTCCGCTGAGAGAATCGCTCACGACTGCCCGATGACGTTGACCATGCAGACCTGTGAGCGACTACGACCCTCAATGTTACAGGTCCAGTTGTATTTCCACAGTTGGCCCTGGGGCCTGGGCGTTTCGCCGAAGACGTTAAACTGCGAGGGGGAAAAGGGTGCACATGTGTTACCAGTGGACCACCAAAAGGTGGGTGCCACTCATCTTCCCGATAATTGGTGATTTTGTTTCCTCGATGGGAAGTTTTGACCGTTCATCATTTGGTATGCGCGGTGTTCGCTTGGCCGGTGGGGTTGCTTCGGTCGGCGTTTTTGCGCAGCCAAAACAACTCGGGCCTCCTTTCCACGCCGGCGCTGCACGAGATTACGTGGACCACGTTCTTGACCGTGCTGGGGGCCACACTAGTAAGTATAATGTTTCTTCGGTTGGGCGATTACTCTGTATGCCTGGTGGTTGGTGTCAGCCTACGGTGGGCTTTCGGTTGTCTCACTGCGGTTGGGTTCTTTGACGTCTGCTTCACGTGATTGTCTTTCTGGGAGTTGTTTGACCGTTTCGGACTTCGGCTGGTCGTCTCCTCTTGTTCTCTCTTCTTGGCGCGGCTCCGCTGGCGGCGCGGGAGCCCCGGCACGGGGGCCCTGCCATGCCCCACGCATCCACTGTCGTGCAGAACGCCCTGGTGCACGCCGTGGTCCTCCCCTGCCCCCACGGGGCGGCTCGTTTTTCTATATTCTCTGGAGACCGATTTATTCGGCTTCACGCATGTTCTTCCAGGGCGCGCGTCGCAAGGACCGATATTCCGATGAGGCGCCGTCCTGGTGCAGTGCGTGACCCCGATATTCCGTGCTCGGGGCTCCGGTTGCCACTGGGGCCCCTCCGCCCCGATCCTCCTGGTCTTCTCTTCCGCCCCCACCTCTTTTTTTTTTTTTTGTTTCTGGGGTGGGTTAGGAGGGGAAAAAACACAAACACAATCAATCGCCGATTCCCAAGAAAATATGGGAAAATATGGGAAGTGGGGGGGAAGACGCAAACCCAGAAAATATGGAAAAAGATGGGGAATCTTTTTATTTGCGTGTATTAACCTGTGTGTCCCAGGGCCCCTTCAGTGGGGTCCGGCGCGGGGGGGCGGAGGATCGGGCTCCCCCTCGTGCCTCTCCCGGCACGGGGTCCCCGCCCCCGCCCCGCCGCGGCGCACTTCGCCCTTCCAGGGTCGGGGGCCGCGGGGCCCGGGCCCTGCCGTGGAGGCGAGGGGCGGCCTCTTCGGCCCATACCTCCCCGTCCACCAGCAGCAGTGCCAGTGCACGCCGGTCGTTGAGGGTAGGTATTTTTGGACTCCCAGAGCCCAATCTACTTCAAGCGCCTCTCTACTTCAAGAGTCGGCACGCTGTTGCTGTTGCTTTTGTGAGTCTCTGGGAGGACCTGGGCCCACTGAACTGAATCCGTCTTCCTACTTCATGTCTTCACCTACTTCTTCCGACCGGCGTGTGCTTGTGGGGCCCCCGACGCCGATTTGGCGACAGCCTCGCGCCCGGTCGGGCTGCCCGCAGGAGAGGGCAGCGACGCCGAGCGCGAGTGTGCCGCCGAGTCGGCCAGCGTTTCGACCGCAGCGCCAGCGTGGGCCCTTGTGGCGCGCGTCGGGGGCCCCCGGAAGAAGGCGCCGCGAGGGCGCGGCGGCGGGGGTGTTTGTGTCGGCGCTGCTGTCGTTCTGTTTTTTGGGCCTTTGCCCAAGCTTCGCCGGTGGGCGATTCTTTACTTTGGACAACCGTCAGTTTCAACCGTTTGCCACACGATTCACGCTACCATACGAGTGGGGGCTGCCGTAGCCACACAATTATCGAGCCAGCATTGATGACCTTACCATCGACGGGGCGCTGAGGTAGCTAAGTTTGCTACGCCCCGGGCTCTCGATTGCATCCGAGCTGTCGTAGTAGAGCGCGGCCACCGTGCCACCAGGTTTAGAATCTACATTGATTAAGATCACTTGTGCACTGACATCAGCACGTTCGCCTTGACGGGGTCCCTCGCAGAGACTTTGAACTCCCAGTTGTTCTCCCCCGTCCTTGTTATGTGTTGTTATTGTTGTTGTCACACTTTTTGTTTGTTTCTCTCTTTCTCTCTCTTTCTCTCTCGCTCTCGTTCCTTCTTTTCCCCTTACGTGTACACATATGTTTCTGTCACCTTACACGTATATGTGTCTTTCTATTTCTGTCTTTCTCTCTCTGTCTCTCTCTCTCTCTCTCTCTCTCTTTCTCCCTTACATACACGGGGCTCATGCGAGGTTCTCAGTCGCAGGCCGAGGCTGACGGAGACAGGGGCTTAGACACAATCGCTGGAAGCATTGGGTGCCAGGTTGCCAGTTGCCGAGGCTGCTCACGGTGCAGGCCGTTGGCGGCTCGAGGGGTCGATGACACTTCTAGCCCTGTACCCTGTACCAGTTGGCAACGTGGGTCCAAAATGCACTGTGCATTGTAACCCATGGATGAACATCGTCCATTTTACGGCGGCCACTGATGCCCATTGCACTTGATCGTTCGCTGCTTGTGGCCGCCCCAGTCCTGTAAGCATGGTGGCCGTGGCGGTACCATAGTATGAGTTTTGCAGTGTGAGCACCTTTCCGATTTTCAGGGCGTCCGCCCGCCCTCGCTGACGCGCTCAGCGAGCGTGCTACATGGTGCAGCAAGACCACGGGGGTTGTATCTTCAGTTTCTGGAACCGAAGAAGGCCTCCAATATCTCGAAGGGGCGGTTCTTGGAGGCGTGGTGGTTCTCTGGAAGGATTGGGCAGCACTGGGGAGGGGGGCGGCTCCTGTGAGCCTTGCGGGTGGTCTGCCAGATGCGAGCGGAACTCTTGGATCAGCCTTGGCTTGCCGCCTCCTAGCCCAGATGCCTTGGCACGGGGTTTATGAGCAGCCCCAGTTTTGGAGGGCCACCCTCGCGTTCTTCGCGCTCGGGATCTCAGCGTTGGGATGCTTTTCGTTCTAGATCTCCCTACTGGGCTTCGGGACTCCAGCGGGAGGTATATCGTGTGCCGTGCGCGTCTGCGAGCGCCACCCTCGACCTCAGATCCGCGAACGGCCTGAAGCAGAGCGAGACTACTGCGAGCTGTGGCGGCACTGAGGGAGCCACTACCAGAAACGATGCCCGACCATGTCGAGGGCAGAGGTCATGGAACAGGGAGGAGGAAGAGCAGCAGGAAGGACGAGTGCTCCCAGTCCGGCGTGTCCATGTGGCCATTGTTCGATTGTAGGACTGCTCGCGGTTCAATTTTGATCTGGCACGGTCCCTAAGCTTCGATTCCGACCCAGACCCGATCCGGCACGAACCGACATCCTTTCTGGCCTGGCCTGAAGGGACCCAACCCGAACCCGAGCCGCGATCCCAAACGATATGGCACCAATCCGATTCTTCGAAAATTTTGGCGCGACCCGATCCGTTCCCGATCCGATCTGTCGTCGCGACTCGATTCAGCTCATGCCTGGGAGGTATCATTTCCGATGTCTGTATGAGTGGCGGTCCGCTGCTGGCACGCGAGACGGGATGCGAGTTCGGACTATCGAGACGAGAGATGTGAGAACGGATCCCAAGCTGTGTCACTGGAAGCCCGATCAAAGAGGTCGACAGCGAAATCCGAACCCTCGCCTCGCCGATCGACGATTCGGGCACTTCAATGGGCTGTGGGGTAGGGCTCGGTGTTCGTCGAGCACGTGGCAAAATCCGAACCCTGCCCCCGCCTCCCCGAGGAGGAGGAGGAGGAGGAGGAGGAGGAGGAGGAGGAGGAGGAGGAGGAGGAGAAGGAGGAGAGGAGGAGAAGGAGGAGGAGGAGGAGGAGGAGGAGGAGGAGGAGGAGGATTGATGATACATTCAAGGAGAATCGATGATTGTTGGGAGCAGGGCTCGGATGTCGCCGCCTGGCAGTGAGTCGAGCACGGGGCCGTCTTCGGGAGCCCAGGGCACCCCACAGCAGGCCCCGGGCCGTCGCCAAGAGAACATCATCATGGACAGCTGGTCGGAGGGGGAGGGGGAGGGGGAGGAGGAGGGGAGGAGGGAGGGGGAGGAGGGAGAGGAGGAGGAGGGGGAGGAGGGTAGGAGTCGCAGCCGACGTCAGGACCCCTGACCGCGTGGCCCAGGCGGGGGGGGCGCGTGGCCGTGGGGCACACGTCGTCCGAAGTGAGCGAAAGAAGGAAGAAGGAGGGGCAGGAGGAGGAGGAGGGGGAGGAGGAGGGGGAGGAGGAGGAGGAGGAGGAGGAGGAGGGGGAGGAGGAGGAGGAGGAGGAGGAGGAGGAGGAGGAGGAGGGGGAGGAGGAGAGGCAGGGAAGGGAGGGGGCTGCTGGACGCGGAGGGGTGGGTCATCAACGTCCCCCCTCGAGGGCCGTGGCCGGGAGCGCGCGGGCGCGTGCCAGGTGCAGCTGACAGAGTGGTTTGTCAAGGAGACTGCACGCCCTCGCAGCGGCGGGTGCCAAATGCTTCCTTCCAGCCCGTTGGTGGTGATGCTGTGCGATTGGCCGCCGTCTGCTGCGCTGCAGTGCTTACGCATGATCTCAACCCGTCGTCAATCAAAGTCGAACGGCAGTCGTGTCTGTGTGCGGGGGGGGGGAATTATTAGTGATGGTTCGTATTCACGTTTCGGTTGTATGCGCCAGAGTTCGAGATGATCGCCACCAACTCTGAAGAGCGAACTCCGGGGGCAGATGTGAATTCCCAGACCGCTTCTATCATCTAACAGTCCCTCGTGGCCCTACAAACTCGACGCTCCGCTCGCCATGCTTCGCCATCGATGCGCGCTCGTGCAACTGACCGAGTTGTAGGCGGAGCCTCAGGAACACGATTGCATCTTCGGAATGCTTTACTTGAGATGGTGTGCGTGGCCGCTTTATGCAGCCCGCACTTTCATGACGGGCCGAGATGCTCTACAAAGTAGCATCACGGGAAGGCAGTCGAAGCATCACCACTCAGCACCGTCGCTGGAGATGCGGCCATGGGGACGTCTCCAAGAGTTCACTTCGCCCCCACTTCACTCTCAGGCCCGGGCGGCAGCTGTATCTGTTGCCTCTCCCGGGAAGTGCAGACATGCACTCGTGGAGCCTGCTCAGGATGCTGCGCTGCAACACTCGCGGCGGTCCTCAGGGTAACGGGTCCTAGACATAAGTCGGACCTGTCCCTTTGCAGGGGGAATGTTCAAAAGTAGTCCAAACATAGTCTGGGGACGATTTGTTGACCATGTTTGAGTCTGGTTTGAACATTTTGGGGGTATTTTTTATTTTTTCGTTCCAAATATCGCCTGCAGGGGGACATGCCCGACCTAATCCTAGACCGTGGGGCGTTTCCCAGGACCCGCTCTTCCTCCCCGGGTCGGTGTTTGCCGGTCGCAGGGCCCGTGGGGGGCCCCAGGCGGAGGGCGACCACGTCGAGACGCCGCCAGGACCAATGTCTTCAGCATCCGCTACCTGAATGTTAAAGCTGTTGCCCCTCTGCTGCCTCGTCGTGCTACCCGCCTTCAACATCAACATCATCATCATCACCATCAACGGCATCATCATCAACATCATCATCGTCATCATCATCATCATCATCATCATCATCATCATCATCATCATCATCATCATCTTCCCCGCGCCCCCGCAGCCCCGCTCCCAGAGCAGACACCAGACCCGCTCCCAGAGCGGCTTCAAGACGTGCTATGGCAAGAGCTCATGTGGCTATCAGTATAACCTGGTGGATTGGGCTCGCTGCTATCGTTGCAAGAAGTGGCTCCGCGACGACCCGGTTCGGGACACGGTCAAGGGGCCCCCCCCGTCCTTGGTCAGGCGAGCAGCAGTCCAAGGATGCATGGCAACAGGTGGAGTCCACGCGCCGCAAGGCCAAGTCGGGCCCAGGCACGAGTGCTGACCAATCCCAGTCTGGGAGTGGGAAGGGCGGCTCGGCCCAGCAGCGCAGTGGCAAAGGCTCGGACACAGGTGGCAAGCAGACGCAGCGCGACTACCTCGCGGCGGCAGTGGAGCAGCTCACGCTTGCTGGGCTGGCTGACGACCACCCGCTCATGGTGGCCGCCAAGGCTCAGGTGCCCTCCGCTGCTGCTGCCCAACCTGACGAACGTGGCCCACCGCCATGGATGCGAGTTCGGTCCCATCAGGACAAGCTGGCCCACTTCCAGGGCCAGCTTACTGCGTCGAAGGCGACGGAGGCCAACCTCCGTCAACAGATCACGGAGCTGGAGCAGGACCTGGAGGACTGCGTTGCATCCCAGGCGGCTCTGGCGGAATCGGTCAAGAAGGAAGAGGAGGAGCTCCAGAGGCTCCATCGACGTGCTGCTCTTCACCCTGCTGGCGATGACTGCAAGGCGGCGGTCAACGGGCTGGTGGAGACGCTGTTCGGCCATCTGCCCGAGTCGTTCAGAGTGGCGAAGGCGGACCAGCTCCGCACCGCGGTGGACCTCCTGGGCGACCTGGCTGCTGCTGGGGCCTCTTTCCAGGAGCAGGAGGAAGCACGGCGGAGGGCACAGGCCGAGGAGGCCGCGCGGCGTGCCATGTCGGGCAGCGGCCCTTCGCCAGCCCCAGTGGCACCCTCGGACTCACGCGTGGCGGAGGATTGCAAGCAGCAGCTTACTGAATTGCTGGAGGGCGGACAGGCAGGGCAGTACGAAGGTCTCTACAGGACCATGCTCGAGTTCCTGCAGAACCCTTCAGCCCTCAGCAAGAGGCCCAGGAGGGACGCGCCAGGCCCTGAGGCTGCGGCGGCGGCGGCCCCCTCGGCCGCGCCTGGGCCTGCGGCTGCTGATGTTCCTGCTGATGTTCCTATGCCTGCTGACCGCGATGTCGCTGGAGCCCCACCCCCGTCGGGGTAGCGGGGTCGTCGATGCAGCGGGACACCGCTTGCCTGCGCCCGCCTCGCTCGATGCAGCGGGACACCGCTTGCCTGCGCCCGCCTCGCACCGAGGCAGGTGGCGCTCTCTGGCGGCGCGGGGTGGGCCTAATGGGGCTGCTGAATCCGATACTCAGGTTCCTGGGCCAGCAGACCCGCGGGCGCCGCCTCCTGATGCTGGGTCGGGCTCGAAGGTCTTGGAGCCTTCTGCCCGTGTCGCTCGGCGGCCTGAGGCGGCCCGTCGGCCTGAGGTATGGAAGCTGTGTACGGCCAACATCACCTCGTGGGGCATCGAGTGCGGGGACAAGGGTAAGGTCACGCGACGGCCCTTCCTGGAGCTCTGCGACTCTGTGGATGCCGACATCTACGTTTTCCAAGAGCACCACCAGACGGAGCTACGTTTGGTGGACGTTCAGCAGGCGCTGGTCAAGGCTGGCATGGTCTCGCTCCTCGCTCCGGCTGCCCCCTCAGGTCGTTCAGAGGCTGGCACCACTGGAGGAGTTGGCATTGCGACTTCGAAGCTCTGGGGCCTCAAAGGACTCGATGATTTGCCTGAGGGTATCGCGGTTCCTCCTGGATGTCGATTTCGTCTGGGGCTCTGGAGTGGGTTATGTACTGGAGGTGTTTTAGTCGGATCGGTCTACCTGCACACTGGAATCGGTTGCCGCGGTCAAAATCTTTCCCTGCTACATAGCATTGGGGAGGTCCTGAGGGCGTATGGCATGCCGTTTATTCTGGGTGGAGATTTTCAGTTTTCAGCGGAGCAACTGGTCGAGTCTGGTTGGATTGGGGATCTTCAGGCTGAGGTGGTCTCTGACGTCTCGAATTGGACCTGTCAGTTGGGTACCTCTCGGTCGTCCATCGATTACTTTGTCCTCTCCTCCTCGCTCAAGCAGTTTGTGGTGAGCTGCTCAGTTGCGACATGGTCTACCTGTACCAGACCGCACCGCCCTGTGGTGTTGAGCATGTCTGGCCACCCGCGACAGGTGACAGTTCCCAGACTCAAGAAGCCGTCGGCGCTCCCTCTCCACCGCCCTGTTGGGTGCGACCCTCGCCCCCTGGAGTGGGATGACTTGCTTGATCAGCTTACCCAGGGGGATTGTACCAAGGACCGTTTGGATGCTGTCACTTCTCTGTGGGTTCAAAGAGCTGAGGTGGCGCTATCTCGTGTATTTCATGTTGATGGGGATCCACGGTACCGAGGCCGAGGAGGCCCCCCCAAGGTGGTGCAAGTCCCTTTGCTCGGCCCCCCAGCCTCCACTCATCCCAGGGCTATTGGGGAGGGCCGTATGTGGCGTGTCTTGGAAAGGCGACTCCAGGACATCGTATATCTCTGGCATGGGCCTGCGCCCACCTTGGGGGGGATAAAACAAGCGGGGAGCCTCTTGCGGAAGCTCGTGCACTACCAGTCCCCCTACACCGATTGCAAGCATTGGGCTTCTTGGAGAGTTCGGGTTCTGGCCGTCAACCCTGCCAACGTCTCGGAGCTCCAGGAGTTGATCTGGCAGGTCCGCAAGTGGGCCCTTCAGCACGAGCATCATGCGGCCTCTGAGCGGGCCCGAGCCTGGCGTGAGTGGGTTCAAGATGCTTTATCTGGGAGCGCTCGACTGGGCCACCGGTTCACCAAAGAGGTTCCCAAGTGGGCTGCATCTGGGCTCTCTTGTTTCTCGGGGCCGTCTGGTGAACCTCTGGGGATTGCTGCTGAAGCCGATCATCGGGCTCAAAAGTGGCATCAGCATTGGGGTGTCGGCCAAGCTTTCCCAGAGCCTGATTTTGACTGGTGCGATGACGAGCCAGAGCTGGAGGCCCCCACCCATGAGGAGCTCTTAGCCCTTACCAGGACCTACAGCACGCACACGGCCATTGGAGTCTGTGGCCTGCATCCCCGTCATTGGTCCTTCCTTGACGACGGCGCTGTCGCGGTCTTCCTACGGATCTGGGTCGAGATGCAGCGCCTGGTTCACATTCCGAGGTGCTGGGCTCTGCTGCTTATTGCTCTTCTACCGAAGCCGCCGCCTGAAGGGGGAGATCGTCCTATTGGGATCTTCGCGACGCCTCTTCGGTTGTGGTCCCGTTGGGCCCGATGGAAAGTTGCTGGCCCCTGGGAAAAGGCCAACCCTCGGTTGTTCTGGTATGGTGACTCAGGGGCCTCATGTGACATTTGCGTTTGGAAGCAGAGTTTCAAGGCGGAGTTGGCCAGGGACCAGGGCAGAGCGGCAGGGACAACCCTGCTCGACCTGGTCAAAGCATACGAGCACGTGCCCCATCATGTTTTAGCTGCAGCTGCCCGTCGGCACAAGTTCCGAGGTAAGACCCTTCGCTTCCTGCTCGCATCATATTGCCTCGACAGAATGGTGCTCTTCCAGAACATCGCCACACAGGCGGTGGTGACGCACCGCACGATTGTCGCGGGCTGCAGCTGCGCGACTTCCCTGCTGCGTCTGGTGCTCTTGTCGCCAGTGGATGCCGTCTCTCTTCGCTTCGTGAATGTCGAGGTGGCGGTCGTGGTGGATGATCTGCAGTTGCAACGTATTGGCGAGGCGTGGGAAGTTGCCAGGGAACTCAAGGG